CCTATCTCACTTTATCCTCTCCAACATGTATTATCTGCTGCCCTACTAAACTTTGCCACTGCTACTGGGGTTAGATGGTGGACTTGCATCTTTCATAGCCAGTGATTTAGAGCATTTCTTTATGTGTCTGTTGGTCATCTGAATGTCCTCCTCTGTGAAAACTCTTTAAACATTTTTTTTTTTTTAAATTATCTTTAATGTTCTACAACATCAGCCTTCCTTCTTGTGGAAGGTAATGCCTCCAAACCCCTCAGATCTAAGGCAAGTAGCATAAACAACAGGGACTATAATAAGAATGTTAATAGCAATCCTTTCACAAGGAGGGAAAGCAGGAAACATCTATTAATCGTAGAGTAAATGCATAAACTCTGGTAGAAACTCCACAAAATACATACAGTCAGAACACATAAACTAAAGAGACACAACTACATGAGGAAATCCTGTCCATACTTACTGAAGGGACGAATTCCAAAATGTTCTATAAAGTAAGGTACACCTGATATAAGCTATGATCTTCTCAATTGCTTGCTATGCATCTGAGACCTGGACAATGACTAAGGATGACAGAAGAATTGATGTCTTTGATTCGTGTTGCTGGAGAAGAATATTCAACACACCAGGGACTGCCAAGAACAAACAATTCTGTGCTAGGGGGCTGCTCCTTGGAGACAAGGATATTGAAACACTGTCTCACATACTTTGAGCATGTTGTCAGGAAGGGCTAGTCCTTGGTGAAGGACATTATGAATGGAAGGGTAAAAGGAAGGTCAGTGCAAGTGAGAAAGACCCCAGATGAGAGAGAATGATGCAGTAACTGTGGCAATGGGGTCACCTGCTTCAGAGATGGTGAGTTTGGCTCAGGAAAGGGCAAGGTTCAGAGTTGTTGTTCCTAGGGTCACTATGAGTTGTAGTTATCTCAATGGCACATAACAACCCTACTCATAAGGGGTGTGTGTGTGTGTGTGTGTGTGTGTGTATTGTTGTTGCTGTTATGAGTTGTTGAGTTGCCTGCGACTCACAGCGACCCTATGTACAACAGCCATAAATTCTGCCCTATCCCATGCCAATCTCACCATCTCCAACACACCTGCCCCTATTATTACCCCAGTCACTGAATCAATCCATCTCATCAAGAGTCTTCCTCTCCTGGGTTGTCCCTCCACCCTCCCAAGTATGATGTCCCTCTCTAAGGACTGGG